TACACTTGACTCAGCCTTCCCCAAACACTTAGCCAATTTTCAGCAAGTTTGGCTTAAACGAAATTTTGGCAGCAATTCAATAAGAACACACACATAAACAGGAAAATCCCAACCTTTGCATTAATGTGGAAAATATACAAAGGAGCCCTCACTTTGCTATGAACACAGTCCGCTCACAACCCACTTTTGACGAAGAACACAAGTCGTTCTTGTCAACACTAAGATCTGCCCAAGCCAAACCTTAGCCCTTTTTTTGAAACAACTGAAACCCTCACGTTTCACTCTTGTTTCCCACTTAGAATTTCACACGAAATTCCCCACACTCTATGCCTAAGTCACAAAGGCCCTATTTATAGAATATAGGCAGCCCTTAGACTTGACAACACATGACACTTGTCGTCTACAGCTTTTGCCACTTGTCGGGCTAAGACAAATCTGTTCCTAACATGTAGTTGACATCCCCAACTACTTAGGACACACTATACACGAAATGGGGTCATGATACAAGCATAATCAGATCATGGGACAAAAGAGGTTATGACAAGGTAACCGCCAACTACTTTTCATGTGCATTGCATGTGCCATCTTCACTTGGCCAGCTGACTCGCGCCCAAGGCTGGCATTGCGCTCAGCCTTGGCTCATCTTGACATTGCTCCGCGCCAATGCCTTGCCCGCAATCCGCTGCCTATGATTTTGCCGCACATGCCCAACGCCGCTGCCGCCTGCACACTGTCTTGGCCCAATTTCTGCCTTGCCCATGTCAACCTTCATTTCCCTCGTGCCATTGCTTGTATTTTCCTTCACATAGCTTTGCCTTAGCTATTGAAAACCTTTTCCATCATCCCGCATTTCCGTCTTGTCTTAGCTTAGCCCGCACTTAGCTGCCACAACCCAAAGTGCCGTGCCACTGACTTTGGCGCGCATGCCATGCCATGCCGCCCTAACATTGCCCACGCAGCTTTGTCAAGCCTTTGCCAAGCGCGCCTTGCCTGTCCCAAGGCCTTGGCCAATACTTGCCTACAACAGCCCTCAATGACAATGTCTTGTCCATCACCTGCATGATCGTTTTGCCCGCACATAGGCCAAATGACAAGGCCATCACGCCCAAATCCTTGCCACAATCGTGCCACGTACGATGACAAAGAGTCAGGCCCTAACAGTGAACCACAGAAATTCCGTAGCAGAGTCTTTCTCCTCAAT